CGTAAAAGAATAAATGGACACAAATCAGATGTCAAGAATTATAACATTCATAAACCAGTCGGAGAACACTTCAATCTCTCTGGTCACGCAATCACAGACATGAAGGTCGCTATCTTAAAACAAAAAAACTTCAAATCCAGACTCCAGCGAGAAACTGCTGAATTGGAATTCATTTGCAAATTGGATACTATTAATTTAGGCTTAAATAGAGACTGGGAGTGGCTAAGTCATTATGCAAGGTAGCCTGTTTCTTCTTGTTTTTTTCCCTACCCCCCCCCCCCCCAGATGTTCTGGTTTAACTTGGATTTAAACTTGGAGAGTGGTCAGTTTAGATGAGCTATTACCAGCAGGAGAGTGAGTTTGTGTGTGTATGGGGGTGGGGGGGATGTGAGAAAACCTTGATCTATGCAGGAAATAGCCCTACTTGATTATGTAAAGAGTTGTCACTTTGGATGGGCTAGCACCAGCAGGAGAGTGAATTTGTGTGGGGGGGTGGAGGGTGAGAAAACCTGGATTTGTGCTGGAAATGGCCCACCTGTTGATCACTTTAGATAAGCTATTACCAGCAGGACAGTGGGGTGGGAGGAGGTATTGTTTCATATTCTCTGTGTGTATATAAAGTCTGCTGCAGTTTCCACGGTAAACATCTGATGAAGTGAGCTGTAGCTCACGAAAGCTCATGCTCAAATAAATTGGTTAGTCTCTAAGGTAGATATATTAGCCCCAGATTAAGCTGATCCCTTTTCCTTGAGTAAGATAATGGGCTGTTCCAGAACAATCAGGAGTTGCTGGAACCAATTAAGGCAGGCTAATTAGGACACCTGGAGCCAATTAAAAGCTACCAGAATCAATTAGGACAGGCAGGCTAATCAGGGTACCTGGTTTTAAAAAGGACCTCACTTCAGTTTGTGATGCATGCGAGGAGCTGGGAGTGAGAAGATGAGAGTGAGCAGGCGTACTGCTGGAGGACTGAGAAGTACAAGCATCTTCAGACATCAGGAGGAAGATCCTGTGGTGAGAATAAAGAAGGTGTTGGGAGGAGGCCATGGGGAAGTAGCCCAGGGAGTTGTAGCTGTCACACAGCTGTTCCAGGAGGCACTCTAGACAGTTGCATTCCACAGGGCCCTGGGCTGGAACCCGGAGTAGAGGGCGGGCCCGGGTTCCCCCCATCCCCTATTTGATATAAGAGGAGTCGACCTGGACTGTAGGTCCCACCAGAGGGGAAGGTCTCTGGCCTGTCCCCCAACCCATTAGGTGGGCCAACAGAGACTGCGGGGATTGTTCTCCTCCCTTTCCCCATGCTGGCCAGCGATGAGGTTAGCTGAGTGAATGGCAGGTTTGTGCCACTAACAAAAGGAGCCAAACTGAGGGCTGCCGTAAACCTCTGAGGCGAGCAAACTCGCCAGAAGCGCAGAACCACCAAGGCAGAGGAGGAACTTTGTCACAATACACAATGGTCCCTATGTACAGATCAGAAGAGGAAAGAATACACTAATATTTAAGAAAACGAAGAAAAACAGGAGCGAGGGCACTATACAACGGAGCGTGCTGGACCATAAGCAAAAGATGGTGGCCTTCCGGCTATTACCAGCCAGGAGGGATGCTGTATGTGACGTCACTCTTAGGACAAATCCCATCCAAGTAGGAGCGTGGCAGGATTGCTTCACACACGGCCATCTCCAACCGCACATTTTCCCCGATTTTATTGGCAGAGGGGTCATTTATTTATTTAAATAAGTTCTGAAGGCGCGGTCAGAATTTTACCCGTAGCAGCTGGCCAACAAAACGCTGCCTTCGGAGACTGACAGCAGACTTACTCCTAGACATACTAATTTTACAAGAGCAATTATGGCTTTTTTTCTCAGCAATGAACAATTAGTGAAGGGTGAGGGTAGGGTAAGGGTATTTGTGTAGCCATTGTGTACATTTGTCATATTTGCACAAAAATGCATTGAGAGAATCTTCTCTTCCCCTATGTCCTTTAGTTATCAACCAATTTTCATGAAATTGGAAATAGAGTCAGATTTTTCTTTTTAGAGGTCCCAAGCTGTAGTTTAGTTAGTTTATGCATTAATCTGGCGCTGCGTGTCAGGGACTGCGGGTGCCCTCTGCCCCATCCTGTTATCACCCAGCTAACCAACGCCTATGGCCTTGGAGCACAGTCCCAGGCCCCAATAAGGCTGATGCAGCAGCAGATATGGGGATCCTGGTCGATGTGCCAAGGACACCGCTTGCTCTGTCAGGCAACCTGTGAATATACAGACAAGGGCCCTGGGCAACCCAGACCCCGCCCTGCTGTTCCCCAGGCAACCCTGACCCCACCCACCCATCCCCCAGGTAACGGGAACTTGCCCTCCTGTCCCCCAGGCAACCCTGACCCCATCCTCCTGTTCCCCAGGTAACAGGACCCCCTTCTGTCCCTCAGGCGACTCCAACCCCTCCTTCGTGCCCCCAGCACACTTCCCCCCCCTCCCCCACAAGACCTGTTGCTGTCTGGGATCTACCAGTCACCCCAAGCTGCAATATGGACGCAGAAAGCCCCATAGATCAGTTGAGCCCTGCCCAGCACATGCAGCAGAGTGGCCCCAGCCTGAGCCCTGGGCGTGTGGGGCTGAGCCAGGCCACGAAGCCAGTGCACCCCTGAGCATGGGCTTTCCCTTGTCAGGAAGGGGGCCCTGGAGGAGGCTCACAGGTGGTGAGCTGGGTCCTGCCCCCATGGACACCCCCAGTTCCAGGTAGCAGAGCTCTGGCTTTCTGGGCTGCAGTTGTACTGGCCACCCCAGTGAGACACCCTGACAGGAGCGGTGAGACACCCCAGCAGGACAGTGCCTTAACCTCGACCCCCAGCCCTGCCCAGTGATGAATGTGCCAAGGCCTGCTCAGGACACGAGCCTGCTGGGATCCCAGCCCGGACTGAGGGAGCCAGACAGGTGCCCCCGGCCTCTCTATCTAAACCAGGAGAGTGAAATAACCAGGCTCCCTTGGCAAAGTGGCCCTGGGGGATTAGCCCATGGGCCCTGTGGGCCTGGATTGATGCAAGGACTGGGGCCCTGTCAGCATGGGTGGGGGCAGGCAATAATTTCCCTGAAAGCAGCATGGCTGGGGGGACAAAGAAAGGCCAGGCAGGGCAGATGGAACATCCCCCTGATACCCCCCAATCTCCGTAACCGTTAGAGGTACCCACCTGTCCCGGGGGACACACACTTTCAACGCAGTCAGAATAGCCCCCTGCACAAGCCAGAGAAATGAAGGGCTGAAAGGTTCAGTACCCTGATTGCCCCAAGAAATCCAGCCCAGCCCCAGTCCGCTGGCCTGCCGTACAGGTGAGGAGAGTCTGGCTCGTTCCTTCAATCCCAGCTCTTGTTCTGCAGCAAGCAGGGAAGGGGAAGGCCTGGGTGTACTCAGCTGGCCTGCACCCTGGGCACTGAACAGAGGGGCCGGTCTTCTTGCTGACTGCTGGCTGTGTTGGGCGTGATGGCACCGACCGGCCCAGGGGAGATACAAGCACCTGATGCGGTTTTGACTTTGAAAGGTGAAGACAACTTGCTCTAAAAGGTGGTGGTGGTGGTGGTGGTGGGCATCCTCTGGGGCCACAGAGAAGCACAATCCTTGGCCATAACTAAATGTGGAATCCTCCCCTACGGCTCACAGCTGCCTCCTCTGCCAGCCCCACCCCTCCCCCGCCACCAGGGTATGAAACCCGAGGCCATCGTGCAAAGTGGGTTTGCCAAAGCCCCCAATGACGTATGCTGCCACAGCAGGGTCCCTGGACAGGGCAGCACACGCCCTGGCTTTGAACCGAGCCAGGCTCCAGGCATGTCCCCCCCGTGCGAGTCCAAGTGAGCGGGCCAGAGAGCCTCACACCGTAACCAGGAGCCACTGCAGGTGATGGCTTAAAGTGGAACCTCTTGTCCCCAAGTCCGGGGGAACAGGACCCTCCGCCCAGTGCAGCCTGGCCCCTGCAGCAGGGCTTGCTGGGGCCAACACTAGCTGAGGCTGAGCAACCATGGTCAGAAAGCTGGGTCCTCTGTATTAGCCCGCGCCAGCTGCGGTCCCCACAGGCTGGGTAACTCTGGCCAGATGGCCCCTGGGGGTGATGCCGCACTTGCTTACTAACGGAGCCAAGGCCAGAGCCGCGGGGGCTAAGCAGAGCCAGGCGAGCCAGCATGCTAAGGAGCCAGCGTTACAATTAGTGAGAGGCTGGACAGGATGAGACATGGAAATGCAGAGGCCTGATTCCCCAGCCTGCGGGGTGTTGGCCCTCACCCAACCCTGTGCCTGGGGTGGAGCCAGTCCTGCCCATCCCTGGCTGTCAGAGGGAGAGGGGGGCCGAGACACAGAGCTGGCACAGGTAGGAGCAGCCCTGCCCTGGGGACACAAGGCCAGCCCTGACCAGAGCCCCCTCCTTCCTGTAGCTGTAAGGCCAGGCCTTGAGTCAGCACCAAGGGGTTGGGGGGCACCAGCAGGGCAGTGCATTAACTTCCAGCTCCCCTGTGCCCAGGGAGAGGTGCCCGCTCCTCATTAACCCCTAGAACACTAGGGGAGCCCTCGCCCCTCACCCTGCAGATGGCCAGTACCACCCCCTGTCGCTCTGGCAGAGGGAGCGCCAAGAGCAAGGGCAGCTGCCCAAACACCCTCCCTCACTTGGCACGTCCCAGTACCAGGAGGAGCAGGGGTTCTGCTGGCTGTGGAAAAGACCACCCAGGCTGGGCCTTCCAGACATGGTTCCACCCTCTATGGCAGCATAGCAGCCATGGGATGAGCATGGGCACTCTCAGCTGGGCAGAGGGGCCAGCACTGCGCCAGGCCTGGCGAGACACCCCAGCAAAAGACGCATCCAGCCCCCGCCATCCCAGCATCCCAGCCAGAGCAGGCCGGGGGTGAGGGGACAGAGCAGTTTCCCCTCCTCCATGCTGCTCAGAGCAACCCCCAGCTGTTCCCTGGCTGGTGCCTCCATGGGAGCAGTGGGTGGCCCAGCCCCAGGAGAGAGACCCAGCCAAGTGGAGCCAGCATTGAGCTTTATTAGGGTCAGCTGCCGTCTGCAACCCTTCGGCCCCAGCCCCCTCTCCCCACAGCCAGACTCAGGCTCCCGGGGGCTGGCACCGGGATGTGGCTGACGCCAGCAGCAGAAGATGCCCACGCCCAGCCACAGGTGCCCCAGAAGATCCCTGTTCGGAGAGCGGAGCCAGGCAGGGGCGCAGGGGGAGCACTTGTCTCCTCTTGGCCCAGCAGGGGCATCGGCCCCAGCCACACAAGACATTGTCTGTTCTGAGTCCAGCCAGGTGCTCTCACTGACGGGGGCCCACGGTTCAGGATGTCTCCCCTTTGCTGGCTAGGTGCCGGCGTCTCCTCCCCATGTACTGGAAGCTCCGCAGAGGGTTGCGCCCCCCCCCGGGCCTAGGAGAGAAGCAGGGGGGGGTTAGGGACAGCAGCTAGGAGTCGGGGGGGGGGGGGGAGGGGGGCCCATTCCCAGGCAATGCAGTGGGACTGGCTCCCTGGTGACCCCTGCTGGCTGGAGGCAGCTCTGCCTCCCTGGATCAAGAAGAACTTGGGCTGTTGGGACCCACTGGCTCCCAGAATCTCCTGCTGCCTTGGGACCCCCCCCGAATACTCCTCCACCCGCTACAATGTGGGTCTGACCCCCCCCTATGCCCAGCACATGGCGGTGCCAGCTACCGAGCCCCAAGGATAAGGCCGCCTGGGGCTGGGAGGGCACCATCACAGCCCCTCCCCCTCCTGGGCCCGTCGGGCTCTGCCTTGGCCTCGACTCCATGCTGGGGGCCCTGTGGGAAACCGCCCCTTCAGCCATCACCCCCAGCATACAGGGCAGTGCCTGTTGAGGGCAGCAGGCAGGGTGCCCCCAGCTCCCATGCAGTGGGAAGCGGCACTGCAAAGCTCCATCCCACCTCAGACTGGCACTGCTGTGGCCAATCCCTCCCTCCAGTCCCGGGCTCGGAGTTCCCCCTGCGTGCCCTCACTCTCCCTACACGGCCGCCCCCAGTACTCTTGGGCTCGGGGAGGAGCCCAGCCCAGACACCCACCTGGAAGCACCCCCTGGGTCGGCTGCTGCTGGGGGCCAAGTGTTTCCGTCGCTTGCGCTTGTTGAGCGGGGCCTGGGTGATGGCACGCAGGGTGGGGGGCACTGCCAGCGGAGAAGACGGGTCAGGAACTGCGGCTGGGGCTGGCTGGGCCCTGAACTTGGAACTCCCTGCCCCATCCAGCGAGGCCAGGACGGAGCTGGGGAATCCTACAGCCTGGATATCCCTGCTGCAGGGCCAGGCCCCCCCCCAGTCCTGCCCCAAACTGACAGGAGACTGTGCCCTGCGGCTAACAGCCCTCACGCCCCACCCCAGATGGGCTGCATCTCGATGACGGTCCCTTTATAACCAGCTCCCATGCCCCACCCCAGCGGAGCTGGGTCTCAGTGCTGGGTAAGGGGTCGCTGTACAACCAGGGCAAGGGGTCCCTATAAAGGGTCTGGAGGACCTTTGGGATCATGCTGGGTGAAAGGCACTAGAGAGGCAACAAGGGACCCCAGAAGTGCCCCTGTCCCTGCTCCCCTCTTCCCCCGGCTGGGAACCTGTGAGAACAGCCAGCCCCAGGCCTGGGCAACCCCGCAGCGGGCAGCACTGACCCAGGTACTCGGGAACGTTGCGCAGGTGCGGTTTGATGATGGCCGGGTGCAGGGGCCGGTCGTGGCGCAGCAGCCGCAGGTCGTGGGGATTGTCCTCGAAGTACGTCTGAGGGGACACACTGAGTCTAGACCCAGCTGCAGAGACACAGGGCCCCTCTGAACTGCCCGCCCCAGGGTTCAGTGCACCCCGCCCAGAGCCTGTCACAGGAGTCAGTGCCCCCCAGGGGTTCCCTGCCCCCCCACCCCCTGCAGGTTACCCCACCCCACTCCATATGGGGCCAAGTGCCCACCCCCCAGGATAGAGACAAGGCCATGCCTAGGCACACCCCACTGCAGCCAGCCCGTCTGTGCACACTGGGGAGCCGACCCCCAAGGGCAGTGGGTTCACTCCCTGCAGAGGGAGGGGCCGCACTCTGCTTCATTCCCAACCCCCCCCGCCCACCTTCAGTTTTTCCGAGTTGAGTAGCTCCTCCTTGATCTCCCGCAGCCGTGCCTCCTTGATGGCCTGCTTGGTGACAGAGCGCATGGCGTCCTGGGGAGAAGGGGGGAGGTCAGAGCCCCCTGCACAGACAAGGCCAGAACCCAGCTCCCCCAGATCCCAACGCCTGCCCCCTCACCCACCCTTCTCCCCATGGCTCCCGCCCTCTGGTAGGACTTCAAGGCTGGAGTTGGGGTGTAGCTGCGCCAACCCCATGGGCCCTGGCAACTCCCCCAACCCCTGGCACCTGCTCCAAGCCCCCCTCCTCTGGCCAAGCTGCCTTGGGCCCCACTGTCCCTTCCCCGGCGCTGATATGGGGAGGGTCTCCCAGGTGCAGGGGAAGGCAGGGGGAGGGAAGGGGTGTTTCCCGCCCGGCCTCCGGCTACTTGGCAGGCTGGGCCCTGTTTTGAGCTGGTCTCTCTGCCCGTGCCCCTCTCCTGCCCACCCGCCCCCCTCCACTGACCCGGCATCTGTAGCGGAGCCCCTCGACTTCCTCCATCCGGAACTGGTAGGGGCTCAGCACGGGCTCGGTGCTCTCTGTGGGGACAGAAGTGGCCTGTCAGGCCCAGGGACCCTGGCATCATGGCCCAGGAGGGGACCCACAGCCCCTGACACCCTGAGGAGCAGGGGAGGGGCTGGGGCAGGACTCAGCCTGCGTGGTAGATACAGGGAGATGCCCCCCCACCCAGCCCCCACCTGATAGCTGTGCCTGTCCCCAAGAATGGCAGCTCAAACCCTTTCCCAGCTGGGCAGCCAGTCGAGCTGCGTGCCCTGATCTCCCCACCCTTCATCGGACCTCAGCCCCAGAGCTCACTGACCTCCTGCAAGAGCCTCCTCGATCTTGGCCAGCAAGGGGCACTCTGGGTGTGTCACGAAAGTCAGGGCTGTGCCAGGGTTGTCAGCGCGGGCTGTCCTGCAGGGGGCAGAGGGGAGAACATTGGGGGCAGCCGGGCAGGAGGGATCAGCAGGGGGGTTCTCCTGCCAGGCCTAGGACCCAACAGCTCCCGCCTGCCCCACTGCGCAGAGGGGCCCTACCGCCCTGCCCCATGGGTAGGCAATCAGCCCCAGGGACAGGGACCGATGTGGGAGGTACCAAGGCCAGGGCTGTGCCCTCTCCATAGCGCTGGCTAGGCTGGACCCGTCCCGGACTGGGACCAGTTAGCCAGGTGTCCTGGCCTCGCCGATGGGACGGGGCAGGGCCTGGGTCGCAGGAGACAGCCCTGGGGATTTCAAGAGGCCTCAGCGCCGGCTCCCAGATCCCCGGGCCCCCTTGCTGTCTCCCCCAGTCCCACCTGACCCGAGAGCCTAGAGACAGAACACCCTGACTTGGGGGCTGCGGCTAGGGCAGCCCCAGCGAGCCCAGTACCACCCAGGTGCCCTGCACACGTGGGCACCACAGGGAGAGCCAGAGAAGCCCAGCCTGGTGCCTCTGGCTGGAGGCCCAGCTGTGGGAGAGTGCCCCTTGGGGACACCCTGGGGCTCCACAGCCAGCTAGCTGGGCGCTACCAGCCCATATGGACCAGAGCAGAACCTCCCACCCCTCCCCTCAGCCCGAGACCCTACCTGCCGGCCCGGTGGATGTAGGACTCAACCGAGGCGGGCGGGTCAAAGTTGATGACTGTGGCGACATTCTGGAAGTCGATGCCCCGTGCCACGCCGTACTCTGGGTCTTTGCCCCTGCAAGGGAAGGGGCACCTCAGGGCACAGCCAACCCACCAGCCCAAGCCCAGCCTGCCCAACCAGAGACCCAGGAGAACAGCCCACACTGCCAGTGCAGGACAGCTCCCTAGAGCTCTTCCTCCAGGGCAGGGCTGGGATCGCGGGGAGCGAGGGGCCCCGGCAGAGCTGGGGGTGGGCTGGGACAGCAGGGAGCTGCGGGTCAGGAGCAAGGGGTACTGGCAGAGCTGGGGGTGGGGCTGGATGGCAGGGGGCTGGCAGTGAGGGGCCCTGGCAGAGCTGGGGGGCAGAGCTCGGAATAAGGCAGGGGCAGCACGGCACAGTCAGATGCCCCCTGCTGGTGACAGAGGCTGTTGCTGCCGGGCCTGGCTACCATGGACACGGACCAAGAGTCTGGTCTCTGTTGCCAGTGCTGGCCAGCCCAGGGGTCCTGACGGGTCCTTACTTCTCTGACTTGGCGCCCTTCTTCCTCTTGGCCCGCGCCACGGGCTCCGCCAGAACCTGCTCGTCAGTGGCGACGATGTAGTCGAAGAAGCCCCGGTTGAACTGGCTGATGATGTGGCACCTGGAGTCCAAGCAGAGGCGCCAGTGAGAGCCGTAGGGACCAACCCCTGATCTATCCTGCCACAATGGGCTGCCCCTCCCCAGGGCTCACTCCCAATCCCCCAGGGCTGCATGGGCCTCCCCTCCCCTCCCCAGGACTCCCCCCCGCCCCCTCACCGGGACTGCACGGGCAGCTCTGCGTTGAGCACGCAGGCCGGGATGCTGAACTGCTCCAGGAAGAGCTTGAGGCGGTAGCCGCGCTCCACAGTGCTGACGAAGAGGATGGCCTTGCCCCGCACCAGCCCCAGCTTGAGCAGCGCGTAGAGCAGCAGGAACTTGTCCTCCTCAGTCGCGCAGCGGATCTGGTACTGGCAGAGCTGGGCTGCCTCCGGCAGCTGGGACTCCTGCAGCTTCAGGGTCACCTGCGGGCGGGGCAAGGTTTAGCGCTCAGCCCAAACCCTGCCCCTTGGGGAGGGGGCCCAGCCCTCATGCGGCAGTGGGGGATCTTACCCCCCCTCCAATCCCACAGACCCACAGGATAACAGGCCAGGATGGTTGAGTGAGGAGCCCCCCGCCCCCCAAAGGGATTTAACCCCTTGTGCAGCAGCCAGGCGGCAGAGCAGAGCTGCCCAAGGCAATGGGGGAAGACGCTGAACCTGCCTGGCGCCAGGCCAGCCGAGCCACCCCCGGGTCCCCCTTACTGGGTTGTGTAGCACCAGCTCCTTTAGCGCCTGCACCTCCTCGCTGAAGGTGGCCGACATCAGGAAGCTCTGGTAGATCTTGGGGAAGTGGCTGCCAAGGAACCAGAGACCAGCTCAGAGCCTCCCCCTGGCCCCAGAGTGACACCCCCCACGGGCTCCAGGAGGGGCTGGCCACCCTGCTGCCAAGGCCTCTGTTCACAGCCCACACAAGAGGGGTCTGAACCTCCCGCTCCCTACAACAGCAGTCGCTGTCTCCTGACCTTGAGCCTTAGCCAGGACAAGGGAGCCTTGGCTGGGCCTTATAGGCAGTACAGACCCTCAGGCAACAGGCAGCAAAGCAAATTTCCCTCCCCACAGCCCCCCCCAATCAACCCCACTCACTGGGACCCCCCCGTCCCCCAGATCACATCCGTTCCCCAGGGACCCCCCCGCCCCCAGAACACACCCACTCCCGAGGGACCCCCAACCCCGCAGAGCATATCCACTCCCCTGGGCCCCCTCACTCAGGCTGGGGGCAGGCTGGCCAGCCCTAACAGCTCACCACAACAGGTTCTTCAGATCCTCCTCAAAGCCAAAGGAGAAGAGTAGGTCAGCCTCGTCCAGGACCAGCACCTCCAGGGAGTGGCGCAGGCTCAGGCTGTGGCCCTGCAGATGAGCCAGGACCCGCGACGGCGTCCCCACCACCACATCCGGCTTCTCCATCAGGATGGGCCTACCAGGGGCACAGAGCGAGCATGAGGGGCTGGGCCACGCGGGGCTGAGGGTCACCACCAGGTACACAGTGATTTCCAGCACCTCCTACGAGGGCAGGAGGGAACGGAACTACCCCCGGGAGGGAACGGTCACACAGCAAGTCCGGGACAGCCAGGAAAAAAACCCAGGAGTCCTGCTCCTTGTCCGCTACCCCAACCACTTTATCTTGCTGCCTGCCTGCAGGGTTCTAGTACAACAGCATTCCCCAGAGTGCAGCCAAGAGCCAGCCTGGGCACACACACCCCCGGGCCAGGCCCCGGCACACACACGCCCTCGGGCTCTACCTCTTACAGTTGCAAAGAAAACCTTGTAGCCCAGGATTCCAATGCAACTGGGACAGCATCTGCCTGGGTTCGCAGGGAGCCCGACCGGCCCCGCTCCTTTCCCCAAGGATGACACAGCTCTCAGGGCCTGGCTGTTCCCCACAGCTGGTCAGAGAGCAGGTGGGGCTGGAGCAGAAGAGGCCCCAGGTACTGGCAGCCTCTACCAGCTGGGGGTGGAGGTGGGTGGGTGGGTGTGGGGGGGTGAGAATGGGGTAACTGCCCCAGGGGCTCTGCTCTCAGGAGCTGCTGGCCAGTGATCCTCACTGAGCAGAGAGGCTGTGCTCCCAGCCCCGGGTCCCACCCCAAGTGGAGCTGGTCAATAGCCTGGGCTGGCCCAGCCAGGTCCATGCTGGTCCCGGTAGCCAGTCTGGCTCTGATCACAGCTGGGCTTAGCTAGTCACTGCACCGCAGAGCCCCTACCCCCAACCAGGGAGGTGTCCCCGAAACCCCTTCATGGGGAGTCCGTGAGCCTACAGAGCTCCCAGGGCTCCTGCCCAGGGGGAAGGGAAGGGCAGGACCCACATCAGGGCAGGAAAGGGCCAAACCACATGGAGAGCAGCTGCCCACAGTGGGGCCCCAGTCTGACGCATTGCCACTGGCTCACGTGGGCCCTCTAGTCTCTCCAGGGCAGCAGGGCCCCTGGGGTTGGGAGGGGACAATAGCTCCCCGTCGTGTATCCCCAGATATTCTCCAAGCCAGCCAGCCCTTTGGCTCCATGGTGGACCTGGGGTGCATCGGGTCCCACAAGTGACTGGCACTCGGGGCACAGGCTGCTCCCAGGGAGCAGGCAACTTGGACCACTGACTATGGGTGGGCACCAGGCCCCCCAACCCCACTCCCTTCCCCCTCCCATCTGCCCCAGCCTTCCCCTTCTCCCCGGGGCTCTCACCTCTGGGCAGACATGTCCACCTGCCCGGAGATGTCGGCGACACGGACATCACGGGAGCAGTATGCCATCAGCTGCCGGATCATCTGCAGCACCTGCTGGCCCAGCTCCTTGGTGGGCACCAGGACCAGCGCGCGCACGGCCTGCTCTGTCACCAAGGGGGACTGGAGGATAAGGGGCAGGGTCAGAAGCCAACTGGGCACCTGCCGCCATACCCCGGTGCCCACAGCCTGCCATGTGCTCAGTGGGACGTCCCAGGGTATCACGCTAGAGAGGATACAATGCCTGTGCCCCAGAGATGGACACTGCCTTGAGCCATTCCAGGGCAGCCCTCCTAGGAGCTACTGTCTCCTGTTACACAACAACTGCCTTGAGGCTCGAGAGGGCCCCAAGGCTGCTGGAGAGCCAGGTTCTGATCCGATGCACTGGGGCCCCCCATCCCTCCACCTGGGGCACCTTGGCATAAGCAGCAAAGGGGGCCCATGTGGGCTGAGAGGCAGAAGGGCCCCAGCTGCTCCCCCAGGGACTCAGGGTCCCACTGCCCAAGCCAGTGGGGTTCCTAACAGGATCAGGAGCCAGTGCAGTGTGGGGCTGGCTGGCCCCTGGCTCGGAGACAGTCCCGAGAAGGGAGCCCTACCCCCAAGAGGCAGACGTACCATTTTCACTTGGAGCAAGTGCTGGATGAGGGGGATGGCATAGGCGGCCGTCTTCCCAGAGCCTGTCCTAGCCCGGGCTAGCAGGTCTTTGCCCTCCAGGGCCAGCGGAATGGCCTTCTCCTGGATCAGCGTGGGCTTGGCCCAGCCCAGCTCAGCAATGGCCTGTAGGGAGGGATGGAGGGAGCCTGGTAGGGACCCCAGAGAGCAGCCAAAACATCTGGGGCACAAGGAGGGGTGGCGCTGCAGGGCCCTTCCAGCCCCTCGGTCGGCTGAGACTAGAGCACTCGGTGCCCTGGGTTCTCCCCACTAGGGGTTGAGGGTGCGCGAGTAACCAAACTCTATGCCCAAGTCTTGGGGTCTCCGCCACCTGCCAAGGCCAGCGGCTGGCAGCTGAGATCACATGGAGCTTTGCCAAGGGGATGAATTGCACCCCGGCCCCCTCACTCTGTGCCACAGAGTGGGGCACACATCCCCAGTCCCGCATGGCTGGGCGGCAGGGCCAGGAACAGAACCCGGTGCCCTGACAGCCAGGCCAGTGCTCTAACCACTAGGCCATGCTCCCCACAGCGCATCTGGGGGGATGCCAAGGGGAGCAGGGGTGGGGATGTCGCACCATCACCCCCCCACGCCCCCCCAGGGCAGCAGCTGGGCATTGCCAGGGGACCCAGACACCGGGCAGCGAGGGGCAATGCGATTGGTGGGACGCGCCTGGTCCCTCGCTGAGACACCCCCCACGGACACAGGGAGGGCAGGGGTCTCCTGTAGCCCCCAGCCCGGGGACCGCACAGCCTCTGCGGGGAGGGGGACTCCCGGCTTCGCGCCTCCCGCCCTGCGCTGGGGGCGGCACTGGCGGGACCCCGTGGTCCTCCCCTGGCTCGGGATGGGGGGCTGGGAGCCGGGACTCCTGGGTTCTCTCCCCGGCCGGGGGCGGCGGGATCCTGGGGGACTCGAGTGGTTAGAGCCGGGGGGGGGGGCGGAGCCGGGACTCCTGGGTTCTCTCCCCGGCCCGGGGGCGGCGGGATCCTGGGGGACTCGAGTGGTGGGGGGCGGGGGGGAGCCGGGACTCCTGGGTTCTCTCCCCGGCCCAGGGACGGCGGGATCCTGGGGGACTCGAGTGGTGGGGGGCGGGGGGGAGCCGGGACTCCTGGGTTCTCTCCCCGGCCCGGGGGCGGCGGGATCCTGGGGGACTCGAGTGGTTAGAGCCGGGGGGGGGGGCCGGAGCCGGGACTCCTGGGTTCTCTCCCCGGCCCGGGGGCGGCGGGATCCTGGGGGACTCGAGTGGTGGGGGGCGGGGGGGAGCCGGGACTCCTGGGTTCTCTCCCCGGCCCAGGGACGGCGGGATCCTGGGGGACTCGAGTGGTGGGGGGCGGGGGGGAGCCGGGACTCCTGGGTTCTCTCCCCGGCCCGGGGGCGGTACCTGCAGCAGCCGCCCGTCCAGCCCCATGTGCGCGAAGCTCGACTCGGGCTCCATCTCCAGCCGGCGCGGCCCGCCCGCCCCGACTCAGAGCGCATGCGCCGCTCGCCGTGCGGAAGCACCATAAAGGCGTAGCCGCGAGACTAGCGCGCCCTCCTCTTCCGTCTGCTGCCCCCTAGGCAGGAAGAGAGTCCTGCACCCTCGGGGGGCGGAGCCTGGGGGAGGGGGAGGGGGCAGGAGCAGAGCCCTGCCGGGAGCCCCTGGGCCAAGGAGGGGGAGCCCCCTGCTCTGACCCCTGGCCCCCACTCCCCTCCCAGAGCCAGGGAGAGAACCCAGGAGTCCTGGCTCCCAGCCCCCCCCACTCTAACCACTAGACCCTCCTCCCCTCCCAGCACTGGGATAGTGGGGCTTGGCCCTTCTTGGCCTCAGTCCCCAGAGCAGGGCTCAGGAAGCAAAAGGGCCATTAATGACCCTTTGGCTCAGGCTTTGAGATCCAGGGATGCTGGGTTCCACCCCCAAACACAGCTGGCTGGGGTGGCATCAAAGGTATTGGTACAAGCCAGGGGCCACCCAGGGAGAAACCACAGGATGGTGGTTAGTTCTGATGCCCGGCTCCACCCCAGCCATTCCCCCAGGGCTGGTTCCAACACCCAGCTCCACCTTAGTTGCTCCTCGGGGGTCTGTTCCAACACCCGGCTCCAACCCAGCTGCCCCCACCCCCCAGGCTGGTTCCAGCACAGCCACTCCGCACTCCAGTGTTGTCAACTCTCAGCAGTCTGGTGATATCTGATGTTTAGTAACGCACCTGCTCATGGAGTCAGGTGATTGTGTGAGTTCGTTTCTACCAGCCACGTTGGTAGAGAAAAACTGGGAAATGCCTTGCCTAACGGCTCAGAGATATGAGGGCGAAGAAAAATGCTCAGAGTTGGTTCTTTTGGTTAAGCTGGGGCCAGACTCATGGTTCTTAGGCACCAGGGGCTGACTCCAGGTGGATCCAGGCCATTTTACAACTAGTTTACTTGTTTTGTGGCAGTACCCAAATGCCATTAGAGATCAGGGCCCCCCACTGCCTTGTAGATTTCAAAGCCAGAAGGAACCAATGTGAGCAGCTAGGCTGACCCCCGCATAACCCAGGCCCTAACACTTCCCCGAATTAATTGCTGTTTGAAATAGAGCAGATCTTGTAGAAACACATCCAGTCTGGATTTAAACATTGCCTGTGATGGAGAATGCACCATGACCCTTAGGAAATTGTTCTAGTGGTTAATTATCCTCTTCATTAAAAATGCGCATCTTATTTCCAGTCTGAATTTGTCTAGCTTCAACTTCCAACCCTTGCACTGTTACATCTTTCCCTGCTGGATGGACAAGCCCCATTGAATTTGTTCCCCATGTAGATGCTTATAGACTATGATCCAATCACCCCTTAGCCTTCTCTTTGTTGAGCTAAATAAACTGAGCTCCTTGAGTCTATCATTACAAAGCAGGTTTTCTAATCCTTTAATCAATGTCTTGGCTCTTCTCTGACCCCGCTCCAATTAATCACCATCCTTCTTGAACTGCGGGCACCAGAACCGGGCGCTGGATTCCAGCAGTGCTCGCACCAGTGCTCTGTGCTCCAGGTGTTTATTCATCCCAGGATCACATTAGCTCTTTTGGCCCCAGTGTGTCACTGGGAGCTCATGTTCAGCTGATTTTCCACCATGCCCCCCACGTCCTTGTCAGTCACTGCTTCCCAGGATGGAGCCCCGTCACGTCAGTGTGACCCGCATTCTTTGTTGCTAGATGTAGGACTTTATAGTCACTCATATTAAAATGTGTATTGCTTGTGTCCAGCTTACCAAGCAATCCAGTTGGCTCTGTACCAGGGACCTGTCCTCTTCATTACTTACCACTCCCCCGCCCTTTGGGGCACCTGCAAACTTCAGCAGTGATTTTATTCTCTTTTCCAGGTCATTGGTAAAAATATGAAACTGCTCAGAGCCAAGAACTGATCCCTGCAGGACCCCCCAGGAAACACCAGACAGTGATCCCCCTCAAGGGGAGGATGTACTCTAGCATGTACCTCACCCCGTACCCCCTTTGCTGTTCTTACTGTGCATCAGTTATGAGTGATTCACACTTGGGGTCACAGTGGCTGCGAGTGTATCTACATTCAGGGGTCATGTCCGTAGGTGAGCACAGGCATCTCCCCTCTCTTCCCACATGCTTTATGGGCCAGCTGTTGAGCTCAGAATAGCTCCCGTTGTGACCCAAGACCTTCGTAATGGCACTGACAAGGGGGTTACAGGTATATCCTGACTGGTCTGTACATGCTGGTTCACCAACAGATGTCAGGTGCAGTTTCATATGAAAGCCAGGGTCACGCTGCTCCTTAGCATCGGCATGAAATGTACGCCCGGCTAGCCCCTAAGGAGTTATGTACATAGACTGAAAATATGTTCTCAGAGTCTGCAGCAAAGTATGAGTCACTGGCAGAGGTGAAAAGCAGGACTGGGATGTAATTAAAGCATTGGAAGCTAAAGCAATGGGTGCCCAGCTAAACACACTCAAATGTTAACAAACAGATGTGACCTCAACAGGAATGGAGCACGCAAGCCCGGTGGCAAAGGGAGATTATCCTGTCCATAAGCAAAGACAACTAACTTGGGGGGGATTTCTAGAAGGCAAAGAACATTCCCCACCTGGGAAGTAAACAGACAGCACGATTACATTCATGAAAACTGGCTCAGCCAACCTTGGCTGAAATGCTGCAGAGGGCTTTGGGTGAGAGAAACTTCTCTAGAGAGGAAGTTAAGCTGGTGGGAGGCTCTAGAAAGCAGGTTATGATTGTGTTGCGTGTGTAACCATTTGCTCCCTGTGTTCTTGTTCACTGTCACCTGAATCTCACATCTTTGAAAACAACACCATCTTTACAAAACCTAGATCCATTTTCTTCACAGCATGTTGGGGTGGGGCTCGGTGCTAGGCACTGTACACATGGGCCTCCCCAAAGAATTTACTGGGGTTATTTTTCTAGGATCTCCCCCATTTCCCCACCAGTAGAAGCAGCCAGACAGAGAGCTCAGAAACCAGCCCCAGTCCAATAACCATCCCCCAGCACAGGAGTTACCAGAAGAGGTTTTATTTCACTCCAAAATTGTAACAAAGAACATCTGTTATGAATTCTCCCTGCAACACAGGGGCTAGGCCCAGACAGAACCAACCCAATTTGGTAGTACCATGGGGGAAGGAGAAAACAACAAACTGCATTTCAGATTTACTGCATCTTAACTATACCAGGGCAGCCCCACATCCATCTGCCTTCACCACCATAAATACCAAAAGGGAGGGGGTGTCCACTGGCACCAGCCGCTTCCCCCTGCCATGCAACAAAGCTGGCAAAGCACCCACCACAATGTACTTCTCCCCCTGAATAGATCCAGCTGAGGGAGGGTGCGTGGAGCCTGGGATCTCAGACAGAACTGAACAAGTCATGTGCCGGGGGGCAAGACAGGCCGATACAGCCTGGCATGTGGCCGGCCCCAGAGGGCTAAATTCAGCTCTCCCTTCCTGAGCGCTCCTGGCCAGTCAGAGCATCTCTGGTCTCCTATGGGGGACTGGAGCAGATGAAGGGGAGAGAGGAGGTGGGGTCTGGCCTCCCCTGCAGGTAAGGGGCAGGGCACCAGGGGAAAGAAGAGGCCGGGCCACTGTCTTGGGCTGCAGTTATCAAAATAGATTCTGGTATAAAATAGCGGCTGCCCCTCACCTCTCCTCGCACCCAAGGGCTGAAACACACACGCTAGGTGCAGAGCCGCCGACCAAACGCACCCCACTCCCGAATGCCTCAGCTATCGACCACAGGTGGGATGAACCAGAGCGAAACAGGTGCCAGGGGGGTAAAGGACAGGGCAGCAGAGCCCCAGCAACTGGAGGGAGAGCAGCACCGATGGCACTCGTGTGCGAGGACAGAGCGGCCTCTGCCCAGGCTGGCACACCCCTGATGCCCTGTCAGTAGCAGGGCAGATCAGTGCCAAGCCCCCAGGAGGGGCTGCTAGCCCCAGCTGGCGAAGCACCAGAGGCACCAGAGCACCAGCGAGTCAGCGAGACAGCCAGGATCTGGCCTCCTCCTGTCTGTCTGCTGGCAACACAGCAAGATGCCTGGTGGCTAATCATGGCCCCCCAGGGGCTTCGGAGCACGGTGGTGTGACAGCCAGCAGGTACCCGTGCTTCCCAGTTCCAGTGCAATTCAGTGCCTACCTATGCCCAGAGGGGGAGGGGCAGCGAGGGGCATGCCAGTGTGGGGGAGAGTGGAGGGCGCTGCAGTGGCGATTGGAAAGGGGGGGGATTAAACCAGTTTCTTGGCCTCGAAGAAGCTCTTGAGGTGTCTCATTTGCCAGATGCCGGTGAGGATGAGGATGATGGTCTGGGCGATGGACCACCACAGCACCCGCTGGTTGGTGCTCTCACTGGTCATGCGGAACCGCTCCTCCCGGTACTGTGCAGGGAGCACATGGGAAGAGGAGTCAGAGCGGGTGGGGAATCCTCCTCAATCCCTGCCTCCCAGGCACAATGCCACCCCCTGTTGGCAGGCCCCTCTCCATCTTGCTCTAAAGGGGATCACGACCCCTGCTACTGCGCAGCCAGCGTATGGCGCCCTCTTCACGTGCACAAGCAGGCACACACCCACACTTACTGCCCCCCACCAATGGCTTCCAAACCGGGCAGGTCTCCCACATGCACACTTACATCCCCTGCCAACAGCTTCCAGATTAGGCAGGCACCAACCCACTCAGTCCCCAATGGTCCCAGGTGTGACACAGACCAGGATCAGGTGAAGCAGAGAGGGTGGCCATGGACATCCTATGCCCAGCTGCCTCATGACACCCCCACTCCTCACAAATCCCCCCTCACCCAGCCACAACCCGAAGCACATCTTGTATTGCCCCTTTGGCAGAACATGAGGCCAAGTGTGTGTTTTCAGCCTGTACGTCCCCTGATGAGCCCTCTCTGCCACTGGGATGGCTTTCCTGCCACGGTTCCCTGTCCCAGCCCTATGCAGATTCCAAGAATGCAAACCAGCACTCAGCAAGCAGGTCTTACAGCCCTGAACTCTCTGGAGAGGATTATGGGGAGAATGGACAGTCACCTCAGTAACCCTCAAGAGCCCCACATCCACGTACCCCAGGCCCCTTACCCTTTGGTAGTTCTGCTCCTTCTGGATCTGCTCCACTTGGTCCAGCAGCTGCCGGGCTCGGAGCTGCAGCTCTGTCAGCTTGTCCTTCGCTGCAATCTCGGGGTAGTTGTTGGTGTGCTCTCCAACCTGGATGTCCAGGTGCACACGCTGCACATGGCACACATGGGGTCAGAGGCACGGGGCTCCCAGCAACACAGCACACGCGGTTACAGGTTAAGGCCCCAGAGAATCTGTCTTTCAGCTTCCACACACCCCCTGGCCCCCTTCCTCCAGCATCTGAGAGCACTTTACTCATATCAGAGAGACTCACTTCACCTTCCCACAAGCAGTAGGCATTACCCCTGTGCTATAGCTGGAGAAACTGAGGCACAAAGAGGGCAGGCAATGGCCCATGGTGATCATCCTGGGAGAGAGTGGCAGAGCCAGGATTGGAGCCCAGGAATCCCAGTCAGGCACGTTAGGCAGACAGCCCTTCCTCTCGGCCAACAGGCAGTGTTCCAACTGCTTTCCCGGAAGAAACGGACAACCTGCACCCTAAGCCCCCCACCCCGCCGGGTTCAGAGGCAGAGATCGGGTGAAGCACTGGGGGATTCTCTTACCAGCTTGCCACCTGCGAAGAGCGCCATGCGCGTGGAGTTGGAGTGCAGGCAGATCTGGTGCTCGCCTGGGGTGTGCGAGGTGAAGGTGAAGCGGCCCTCTGAGCCATACTGCCGGGACAGAACCACCTGGAACCACCAGCGACAGAGCTGTGAGTGCCAAGCAAGACCCACCATCCCACCCCACAGTGCCAGCATGCTGCTGATGTCACTTTCCTAGGGCAAGGGAAACCCTGGGCCAACAAAGCCTGCAGCCCCTGAGATCTGGCCCCAAAGGCCTTACCAAAGGGAGGCACCAGGATCTGGGCAGGAGGAAGGGAGAGGGCACACAAAGATGCCCCGGTGCAGGATAACTGGGCTCTGCCCAAAGCAGCAGGGCGAGTCCAGGCACGGGGCGCTGCCACCCCCAGCCCTGCGCCCACCGGCAGCATTACCTTTCCATCAGGATCCTTCACTTCCACGTGCATGCCCAGCCCCGGCGTGGAGGGCAGGAACGACTCTGACTGCTTGTCCCACAGCTGCGTGCGGTAATTCCCTGCACGCCAGAGACGGGGATCAGGGCGGGGAGCTGCCGTCATACCCCCAGCTAGCCCTGACCCCACCCCCAACTCCCTTATCCTGCACTGCCCTGTGCTACTCCACCCCCACTGCCCTCTCACCCCCTGCTGCCCATCACGCCAACCACCCCATCCCACATCAAACCCAGCCCCCCGCCCACCTCCCCGCCTCGTGTCAAGCCCCCTGCCTCCCCCCACCGGCTGGTCTCGCCCTCCTCCCCATCGCCCTGCCTCCCCCCGCCAGCTGGTCTCGCCCCCCCACCCATCGCCCTGCCTCCCCCACCCCTCCCGCCGGTTGGTCTCGCCCCCCTCCCCCATCGCCCTGCCTCCCCCGCCAGTTGGTCTCGCCCCCCTCCCCATCACCCTGCCTCCCCCACTCCTCCCGCCGGTTGGTCTCCCCCCCCGCCGGTTGGTCTCACCCCACCCATCCATCGCCCTGCTCCCCCGCCGGTTGGTCTCGCCCCACCCATCCATCGCCCTGCTCCCCCGCCCCCCCGCCGGTTGGTCTCGCCCTCCTCCCCCATCGCCCTGCCTCCCCCCGCCAGCTGGTCTCGCCCCCTCATCGCCCTGCCTCCCCCCCGCCAGTTGGTCTCGCCCCCCCACCCATCGCCCTGCCTCCCCCCCGCCAGTTGGTCTCGCCCCCCCCCACCCATCGCCCTGCCTCCCGCCAGCTGGTCTCGCCTCCCTCCCCCATCGCCCGACCTTCCCCCCCGCCAGTTGGTCTCGCCCCCTCCCCATCGCCCTGCCTCCCCCACCCCTCCCGCCGGTTGGTCTCGCCCCCCCACCCATCGCCCTGCCTCCCCCGCCGGTTGGTCTCGCCCCCCTCCCCATCGCCCTGCCCCCCCTCACCGATCACCATGGTCTCGTCCGGGATCTCCTCGATGAAGCAGCGCTTCTCGGTCTCCCCAATGTGGAAGTAGAGCGCATGCGCCCCCCGGCCCGCCAGCTGCGCCAGCAGCACCAAGGCTGCCACTGTCCGCAGCATCCCGGGCACCCACTCCCCACCGCCGCCGACCATGGACAGCCCCACTCCCTCTCCCGACCTACCGCGCATGCGCTGCCACGGCTCCCTGGGGATTGAAGACGACGCGCATGCGCAATCACTCGGCTGCCCGGCCCTGGAGGAGAACTGCGCAAGCGCCATGCCTGGGAGAAGGGCTCTGAGCATGCGCAGCGTACAACCACCAGTCACGCACCCACACGCCACAGGTACGGGTGCGCGCGCGCGCGCGCGGGGATGCGGAGCGTCCTTCAGCCCCACCCCTAAACCTGTTGAGGGAGGGCGTCGCGCATGCGTATCAACTGTTAGCGCCTGAGCGTGGTGAGCATGCGTCCAGTAAGCTCGCTGCCTGGCCGGTTGGTTTAGTGGCTGTAACCCCCTGCTCACAACGGGGGAGCTGCGGGTTCGAGGCTGGTGCTACCGGCCAGGGCGCCTGGCTCCTGTCTGCAGGGCTCCTAGATCCCATACCATCTCTGCTATTGCTCTGCAGCCTGCTAGCAGGGGAGCGTGGGGTCAGAGTTAAGGTGTTCCTAGTCTGGAAAGCTGCTTGTTGCTCACTGATTTTCCTGCTGTTGTCATACCCTGCCAGAGTCCAACCAGCTGGCCCAGGGTAGACTATTCCTGGACACTTGGAGCCAAACCAGAAGGGGGGTGGGGCTCCATTTTGGAAGCTCTTCCCAAGGTTTTATAGACTCAGGCAAAGCTGCTTGGCTGAGAAACTCTGATCTTGATCTTCCTGGCGAGGGACGTTGACCAGGACCGGGGAGGGTGTGTGGCCCAGTTAAAGTCAACAGGGGCTGGTGCAGACTTGTGAAGTACACGTGGCCCAGAAGAGGCTCTGCTATAAATTCTGAATGGCCTAAATGCAGACGGGGTGGAATTACACAGGCACCAGCCTGGAAGGAACAAGAAGAGGACTAGCTTATAGGAAGCGCAGGGTTGGAACTGTACAGGCAGGAAATTGTCGGGGGGGTCCTGCAAAGGAATAGGTTCAATCCAGCATGGGTACTGCAGGGCTAAGAGTCCACTAGGATCCGTGAGTGAGTTGGAAGATGTAGTTCACGGGAGGCAGTGGGGTGTCCAGTGCCTGACCTTACAGCACTCAAACGAATGTTCAATTCAGGATGGCCACAAGGTACTGTTGTTGTAGGTTTTAGATATGTGGACACAGATGTGACTACATGTCTCGAACACCAGATCTCCCAAGTACTAGGGAGCAAATTAACCCCCCCCCCCCCAGTGGACGACGAGGCCAAGATGACAGGCACAGTCACACAAATAGCTCATAAAAATCTTACAGAATATTTCCTCCTCTGTCACAAGTCAATCAGGGCCCAGCAGGCAGGATTAAAAGGATTGGCTGCATCTTCTAGGGGCCCGTTCTGGGTGATGCTGGGACAGGATAGGCAGTATGTCTTCTGTCTTAACCCAAAACACCTGCCCTGGCCTGCTCAGAACCGAACCCTAACGGCACCTTAGTGGCCATCCTGAACTGAACATTCGTTTGAGTGCAATATTTGGCTTTGTTGCCTGAGCAAACCCAGTTTGTCCTGGTGTGTTTCCCGTTGATCCTATTGTCTTTCCTGCAGCAATAGCTCTCTCTAGCATTGGTCCTTCTTAATTGTCCTCTGGGCAGCTTAAACCATGGTGAGAATGGCCAGACGGGGCGGTGGGAGTGTTCTGTGGTATGGAAGCTGTAAACATTGGGCATCCCTACCTGGGTACGGCCATAAGGCAAGTGCAGTATATATTGGCACTGGTTTACAGGCCGTGGTGATTCTGGTGTGGGTAACAAAGCCAGAGTACCCAGTTTATGCCGCTCACCTGTTTGCTGCTGTGGCACTATGGTGGGGGAAGAAACAAGACTGCATTCCCTAGCAGAGAGGGTCATGGAGGATCTCCATGCAAGCTTCTTGGAGATCTCTCAAGATGACCCAAGAGACAAAGGAATGAACAAAGCGCTTCACACAGCACCCCCAGTCTGGCTCAACAAGCCAAAGAACTGAAAAGCAGATGGGGACTCTACCGTGGGTCTCTGCCCGAGCACAGGACTCTGTGCAGATGTGGGCTGTGTAATCGGGCTGCCATCCTGCCCTTTTTGAATGTATTCCCTAACATTTCAGGGTAACATGAAACCCATAAAGCAATCCAAATGCAACACCTCTGTGATAAATGAAAAGGGGTGGAGGGTAGCTCCCTTTTATGGACACCCAGCCAGCCAGTAGCTATAAAATCCCTCTTAGTAGCTGTTCTCTAATTGTGTTACCTGTAAAGGGTTAAAAAGTCTCCCTGCTATTCATAGGTAAAAGGAAGTGAGTGAGCACCTGGCCAAAAGAGCCAATGGAAAGGCTAGAACTTTTTAAAATGGAAACAAGACTCCCCTTTTGTCTGTGTTTGCTCTCTGGGGAGAGGTGGCCAGGGAGCAGCTATGCTGTAAGAAACTTAGACCAGGTATGAAAAAATCATCAGTATCATACCTACAAACTACTCATTTAAAACCCCAAATATGTAAGTAGATCAGGAAATGTTTAGGAAAACACGGTTAGGTTTATTCCTTTTATTTCGTTATGGCTTGTGGATTCCTCTGTGCTAACCCCAGGTGCTTTTGTTTTGCTTGTAGCCTTTAAGCTGGACCTCAAGAAAGCGATTCTTGATGCTTAATCCTTGTAGCTGTGTGACGTTACTGACATAACCTGTGACCGTATAGATCATTGTTGCAACCACTGTTATATATTTGCAACAAATATTGTACAAAGGCTGTCATATAAGGAGTCTATGGAGAGGTTATGATTTGCTAATTATGATTGTGCTATCTGTATGGTGTATCATTTTTGTAGTTGAAGTTATGAATATTAGCTATGTACTTGTAAATCAATGTGTTCTGATTCTAAGTAGCCTCAGTGAAGCATTTGGTCAGCTTCTTGAGAAGGGACTATTCTCAGTAAGTGCCCAATCAAGAAACACTTAACTGACAGTGGACTTTGGGAGACTCCAATCCATATCTGAGCTTTCATGGGAACATTCAAACTAACAGGTAAACAATGGCGTTGGCCTGTAAACTGAGTCATGCATGGACATGTGACTTGCCCATGTGACTCAGAGCTCCATCTTTCTGCTGTAATTTTCCACAGTAAGAACAAAGGGGTGTCCTTCCACCTGGAAGAGACTATAAAAGGCAGCTGCCTCATCTCCATTTTGTCTTGAATCATGCTTCATACCCTTGGAGGAAGCTTGCTACAAACTGAAGCGCTGAACAAAGGACTGAATGACCTATCCCAGCTGTGGATGTTCTCCAGAGACTTGATTTGAACCTGCCGTTTATTCCATCACTGCTACAAGCCTGAACCAAGAATTTGCCATCACTGTATGTCATTGATTCCATGTAACGAATTCTAGCTCTCATCTGTATCTTTTTCCTTTTATGAATAATAAACCTTTAGATTTTAGATTCTAAAGGATGGGCAACAGTGTGATTTGTGGGTAAGATCTGATTTGTATATTGACCTGGGTCTGGGGCTTGGTCCTTTGGGATCTGGAGAACCTTTTTCTTTTACTGGGGTATTGGTTTTCGTAACCATTCGTCCCCATAATGAGTGGCACCAGTGATAATACTGGGAAACTGGAGTGTCTAGGGGAATTGCTTGTATGACTTATGGTTGGCCAATGGTGTAAAACCAAAGTCTTCTCTGTCTGGCTGGTTTGGTTTGCCTTGGTGTGCAAAGGAACCCCAGCCTTGTGCTGTAACTGCTCTGCTCTAAGCAATTTGTCCTGAATTGGCACTCTCAGTTGGGTCCCACCAAGGGCAGCATTGTTACAGTGGCATAGTCCTGCTTGGCTCCACAGGTCAGTTAAGCTTTGGGTCAGAACCCCACACTATCCAAGTTGAATTTTGGAATTGAGAGTTTGGTTGGTTAAAGAGCACTTGCAGTGAGTGAGTGAGCAAAGAGCATATGAGGGTCCTGACAAAAAAGCCCTGGAAGATTTGTGTTCAGAAAAGGAGATAAGCTTTAAAAAGAAAGCTACAAATCAAGAACTGAGAGATCTGTTAATGGCCAGTCATCAGAAGCAGGAGCACAGCCCTTACCTGATGCTGCAGAAGCAATTAGAATGCAAAAGGCAGCAAATAAACTGCAACTTCAGCATGAACAGAAACCAGCAGACATTTGATTTCTGGAAAAGGAAAAGAATTCTGAATTAAAAAGAGAGGCTTCTGAGAGAGAGGAAGGACTCGTAGAGAGCGTATTGAGCAGCTCACTGCTGAGGAGACAGCTTACCAAATCATAGAACATCAGGGTTGGAAGGGACCTCAGGAGGTCATCTAGTCCAACCCCCTGCTCAAAGCAGGACCAATCCCCAATTAAATCATCCCAGCCAGGGCTTTGTCAAGCCTGACCCTAAAAACCTCTAAGGAAGGAGATTCCAACACCTCCCTAGGTAACGCATTCCAGTGTTTCACCACCCTCTTAGTGAAAAAGTTTTTCCTAATATCCAACCTAAACCTCCAACACTGCAACTTGAGACCATTACTCCTTGTTTTGTCATCTGCCACCACTGAGAAGAGCTGAGCTCCATCCTCTTTGGAACCCCCTTTCAGGTGTGGAAGTATAACATTGTATAAGTATAACGTTGTATAAGGGGACATGCTGGATACATTGTATATGAGAGGGCATGCCAAAACATGTTACAAAGTATCTGAGGGAGCACATGTAGGGACAAAAAGAAAAGGAGTACTTGTGGCACCTTAGAGACTAACCAATTTATTTGAGCATGAGCTTTCGTGAGCTACAGCTCACTTCATCGGATTCATTTCCACGGCATGCATCCGATGAAGTGAGCTGTAGCTCACGAAAGCTCATGCTCAAATAAATTGGTTAGTCTCTAAGGTGCCACAAGTACTCCTTTTCTTTTTGCGAATACAGACTAACACAGCTGTTACTCTGAAACATGTAGGGACAGTTAGCTTTTGAATGGAGAAGCAATTAAGATAGAGCCAGCACGTCTAAGAAGCAGGCATCAGAATGGAAGGTGTGAAGGGCAATTAGTTAAGTTAACTGGAAGCTGTTAAAGGAGATTGTTAAGGGTGGCAGGTAACTGAAGATACGTGACTGGTCTCAGGGATCTCGAAGGGTGGTGACTAAAATCTTTTTCTTCTTTTGTCTGTAACTTCTCTGTAACTTGTTCTCCAAAAAACTGTATAAATTAA